ATTTCCATATTAGCTATGTCCCTCCCTCAAAAAAAAAACCCAAAATACCAGTAAAAATAAAGTTAAAAACAAGTATGCTTTAAACTGCATTCGGACTCCATCAGTTTTTTCTCTGGAGGTGGATAGGATTTTTCATCATGAGTCCTTTGAAATTGTCTTAGATCCTTTTATTTCTGAGAATAGCTAAGTCATTCACAGTTGATCATCCTACAGTATTGCTGTTACTATGTACAATGTTCTCCTGGTTCTGCTCACTTCAGTTTGCATAAATTCCTATAAATCTTCCCAGGTTTTTCTGAAAGCATCCTGCTCATCATTTCCCTCTATTTTTTTTAAATAACAGTTTACTTTTTCTCCAATTACATATAAAGATAATTTTTAACATTCATTTTTTAAAAATTCTGAGTTGCAAATTTTCTCCCTCCCTCTTTCACTTTCCGCCTTTCCAAGACAGTAAGCAATATGGTATGGGTTATACACGTTCAATCATGCAAAATATTTTCCTGTTAGTCATGTTATGAAAGAAGACACACACCCAAAGGGAAAAAACATGAGAAAAAATACATAAAATGAAAAAGTAGTATGCTTCAACCTGCATTCAGACCCCATTAGTTCTATCTCTGGAGGAAGATAGCATTCTTCATCATGAGTTCTTTGGGATTGTCTTAGATCATTGTATTGCTGAGTTGAGTATTGTACAATATGGCTGTTACTGGCTACAATGTTCTGCTCACTTCATTTTACATCAGTTCATATAAGTCTTCTCAGGTTTTTCTGAAAGCATCCTATTCGTTTCTTGTAGCACAATTGTATTCCATACCAATCATAGGCCACAACTTGTTCAGCAATTCCCCAATTGATGGGCATCTCCTCAATTTCCAATTCTTTGCCACCACAAAAAAGAGCTGCTAGAAATATTTTTGTACAAATAGATCCTTTTCAGGACTCAGATTCTCTTGCTCATAAATCTACCATTCTTTCCACTGTGCCATCTTCTTCTGTCCCTTATCCAGGGACCCTGGCTCACGATCTGACAGGCCTCCTTTCCCCAATAACCTTGGTAACCTTGTTACCCAATCTATAACACCTGAAGTAATTTCACCTGGTCCCAATAATGATGGCATCAAACCAATGGTATGCTGATATTTAGCAACCAGCTCTCCTCCCAACAACATACTCCCAACACACTTTTCTCCATCACTTCCTTAAGTCTGGACAATCAACAAAACAATAAATCAAACCCTGTTTTGTAGCTTGCTCTCGAACACCCCAGCAAAACTTGATTAATGTTTCACTAACACTAATTCTTCAGACTAATTCTATACACTTCATTAACTCTGTGATGATTTATCCCCTTGCCTTACTTCCCAGTCTCTTCCCTAATCACCCGCATCCACAACTGCTGCCTTGGAAGGGATTCTTTTTTTCCTCCCACCTTTTCCCTTCATTCCGATCCAGCTTGGCCTTGTCCCTCCCCAGCCCAGAGCCTCCCTCTTGGTATTTGGCACAAGTTTCTCCTCATCCACCAAAGTGCCTTGGTTCACACTTTCCACCTTTTCCTTGAGGAGTCCCCCACCTCCTTTGGCACCTCTCCAGTGATGACCACTTTTGGAATGCATAACCTCTGATTCAAAGGGTCAGAAGCTAGGTGTGCAGTGAAGGGAATGATGGGAATGTGTTGCCTGGTTTTGCTTAATTTACAACTTTGGTCTAAGGATTTTGAGCCATAAGAGACCTTGAAGACCATCTAGTCCAATGCTCCAGTTTTCAGAGGAAAAAATAAAGGGGGATGAGAGGAAGAAAGAGGAGGAAACTCAGGCCAGGGAAGTGAAATTACTTGCCCACAGTCAAACAATAGGATCCCAGATCTAAAGTTGGAGGGAACTTCAGAGGTCATTCATCAGGACTTATTAAGTGCCTACTATGTGCAAAGCATTGTGCTTCATCATATATGCCTCTGTTTAGAGGTCCAAGGTAGTGAAATGACTTCCCCGGGGTTTACACAGCTAGTAAATGTCAGAGGCATGATTTGAATGCAGGATTCCCTGACTCCCAAGTCCAGCATTTTATCTACTATACCACTCTGGGGGGTTGGTATTAGGAAATGACTGTGTGAGAAAGAAAAAAAAGCATCAATAAAATATTTTTATAAAAAGAAAAAAAGCGCTGCTCTTAGAATCAGAAGACAAACAATAAATACATATGGACAATACAGTAAATAGAATGCTGGATATGGTCTTGGAGGGCCTGGGTTCAAATCCTGCCTCTGCCTACGTGACTTCGGGCCAGTCATTTCCCCTCCTTGGGCTTCAGTGTCTTTTTCTGTAAAATGAGGGGGTTGGTCCGGATTCAGCATTTCTTTGCTGCCTTGGACAAGTCACTTCATCGATCAGTTTTTAAAAAGATGGCCCTTTGAGCAGGGAGAATCTTGGCATCATTAAAACATTCTGCCCTTTCCCAAAGACTCCTCCTCTTCAAATCTGGGCCGAACTCCCAGTTCATTTGTAATGTGTTTCCAAGATCTAATGTATTGATAGAGAAGACCACATAGGCAGTAGGTCCAACTGTGTGCTGTATTCTGGACCCTGGGCATTCTTCACCTATTCACTTTCTCCTTAGACCATACTCTTGAGTCAGAATAGATAGCATTTAGGACATCTCACACAGCATACCACAATAAATACCAAGTGAATCAACTGGAACAATAATAGCTTTTGATGTCACAAAAAATCGAAATTCTTATCTATTCGTCAAATAGAAGAAATTATAAGAGACAAAAAAGATGAGTTTGATTAGTAAATATAAAAAGAGTTTGCACAGCAAAAATTAATGCACCCAGAAGAGAAGGGAAAGGAACCCCCGGAAGGAAATGTGTTGCCCTAAGAAGTTCTTCCCCAGAGGCCAAAAGTTTTGAATGTTCAGTTCTCAAAACAAGAAATGAATCATCAATAACTACCTGGAAAACTGTTTAAACTATCTAATCATCAGAAATACAACAGAGGAGAAACTTGTCATACCACCTAACTTCCATTAACTTGGTAGAGATTGCTAACAATGTTAAACTTCGATTTTGCTGGGCTTGTGGAGAAGCCATCCCATCTACCAAAGAAAGAGGAAAAACCAACCAACATGAAAGTTGTGTTCAATATTCCATATCAATAGTCTCCCACTATCTAAAAGATCTCCTATCTTTTACTCTTTCTGGTTTTAAAAAAAAATGTTTTTTTTTCTTTTACATCATATTCCTTTTTGACTACATACCTCTCCTCTCCTACCCAGAGAGTCATCCCTTGTAACAAAGATTATAAAGGAAAATGCAAAAACCAACCAATCGATAAACATTTATTAAGTGGGCACTGTGCTAAGCACTGAGGATACAAAAAGAGGCAAAAGACAGTATCTGCCCTTGAGCTCAGAGTCTAATGAGAGGGACAACAAACAATATACAAACAAGCTATATACAGGATAAATAGGAAATAATTAAGGAGAGATTCAGAGGGGTTGAGGAAGGCTTCCTGTAGGAAGTAGGATTTTAATTGGGACTGCCAGGGAGGATCAGTAGTCAGAGCAGAGGAGGGAGAACATTCCAGGCATGAGGGACAGCCAGAGAAAATGCCTAGAGGAAAGAGATGGAGTATCTTGTTTGTACAATAGAAAGGAGGCCAATGTCACTGGTTAAAGAGCATATGGTAGAGAGTAAGGTGTAAGAAGACTGGAGGAGTAAGAGGGGGCTGGGTGATGAAGGGCTCTGAATGCCAAACAGAGTATGTTGTGTTTGCTCCTGGAGGCAATAGGGAGCCACTGGAGTTTATTAATCATGCATGTGATCAGACCTGCACTTTAGGAAAGTCATTTTGGTGGCTGAATGGAGAATGGCTTGGAGCGGAAAGAGAGATTTGAGGCAGGCAGACCCACCCTGAGGCTATTGTGATAATCCAGGTGTGACTTGATGAGAGCCTGCCCCAGAGTGATAGCAGTGTCCCAGGAGAAAAGGGAGAATATTTGAGAGCAGTTACAAAGGAGAAATTGACAGACCTTGGCAACAGATTTGATGTTTTGTTTCCTCTTTCTGGTGGTTCCTCCTATTGGTTCTAGCCTATATCAGATTGCGCACCTTCTTGGGGAAGGAGGAGGAGAGGGAGGGGGAGAAAAATTTAAAACTCAAAAGCTTACGGAAGTGATTGTTGATAAATCAAAATAAATCAATAAAAAAAAAAAACCAGAGGGGGCAGTCTTTTGGAGGAGACAAGATAGAATGGGATTACTTAAACAAGTAGAGGTGTTAGCCTTGGTAACAGATTTGATCGGGGGGGGGGGGGGGGGGGGGGGGATGAGAGACAGTGAGGAATCCAGGGTTGTGAGGTTGTGAGCCTGAAGACTTGGGAGGATGGTGCTGCTCTCTGTATTAACAGGCAAGGGAGGGGTGGGGTTAGTGGATACGATAATGAGTTCAGTTTGGGACATATTGAGTTTAAGATATTTATTGGACTTCCAGGTTGAGATGTTTGAAAGGCAGTTGGAGATGTGAGACTGGAGGTCAGCAAAGAGTTTGGGGGCAGGAAGGGAAGATGTGAGAATCATCAGCATAGAGATGCTCGTTAAATCCACAGGAGCTGATGAGATCACCAAGTGAAGTAGCCCAGAGAAGAGAAGAGGGTAGAAATATCCAGAGGGATACCTAGGATTAGAGGGCATGATCTGGAGGGGGATCCAGCAAAGGAGACAGAGAAGGAACAGTCAGTTAGGTAGGAGGAGAACCGGGTGAGAGGGATGTCCCGCGGACATATGCAATATTCCACACCCCGGCAAAAAGTCTTGGCAACGTATGCCGCATTCCGCACCCACCGTCCCCCACTTCCTCAAAGGAGCCTCCAGTGGGCCAGGTGCGCGAGGGGAACGACGACCGAGACTCAGAGACCTCCGAGGCGTCCTAGAGAGGCAGCGGAAGTGGCGGGTCGGCCTCCGCAGCCCACGGGGGCGGTCGCTTGGGGGTGGGGCCGCACTTCCGGCCCCGCCATCGTCCGTCCGCTCGGGCCCGTCGCAGGTGAGTGCGGCTGGGCGGGCTCGCTGCCTCTGCCTTCCTCTTTTTTTCTTTCTTTCCTTCCTTCCTTCCTTCCCCCCTCTTCCCTTCCTTCTTCCCCGCCCCTTCCTCCTTCCGTCCCTCCTTCCCACTTTTCCTGTTCCCTTTCCCCAGCCGGGGGCCATGTAATTGTCACCAGCGGCCCCCCTCCTTTTGTCCGGTACCTTGCCTGGTAACGGCCCCGCCCTGGCAACCAGGCAGGCAGCAGGCGCCTACTGTGTGCTGGCACTGGGCTCAGGCAGCACGAGGCGTGGGTGCGAGTCCTTCCTCTGTCACCGATGCCCTGCGTGACCTTGAGCAAATCACTCCTCCTCCCAGGGCCTCAGTTTCCCCCTCTGTAAAATGAAGGGGTTAGACTAGATGGCCTGTGAGGGCCTTTCCAGCTTTAGATCTAGGATCCTAGATGTGACCTTGGGCAAGTCACTTCCTTTCTCTGGGCCTCAGTTTCCTCCTCTGTAAAATGAGGGGGTTAGACTAGATAGTCTCTGAGGTCACCCCTTCCAGTTTTAGATCTGTGACCCCATTAGGGACCTTGAGCAAGTCACTTCCTCACCTTAGGCCTCAGGCTCCCCCTGTGTAAAATAAAGGGGTTGGATTAGCTGCCCTCTTAGGCCCAGTCTAACCCTAGAGCTATGGTACTGTGTGTCACAAGTGATTCAATTTCCCTAGGCCTCAGTTTCCCCCTATATAAAATGAGGGAATTAGACTAAGCTGGCCTCTGAGGTCCCTTCTGGTTATGAGGGTCTATGTTTCTGTATTTGGTAAAAGCCTTTCAAATGTGAAGCCCTGGTGAAGGTTGGGAACAGAGGCAGCATTGGTGATTTAGGGACAAGTAAGGAAAAGAGAGAAGAAACCACTCTCCTTGTCTCTGTGAAAACAGGAAACTTATTTCTAATCTGAAAGAACAGATGGTGGGTTTGGTTTAGTTTAATATTTCAAAGCCATTTACATATCTTCTCTCTTAGGGCCCTGAATTTACCCACCCCACTGATCGAAGTGCCTGGCAGCTTTTAAGCTACCGTTGCAGCCCACACCCCTACAGCCTTATTGTAGCCCTAATTCTGAGACAATTTATTTGTCAGGTGTTTGCGTCTTCTTTTTTTGATTCTGAAATTGAACATTGTCTTTTCCATCTTGACCCCATATAGGATGCTAAGTCCAGAAAATTGTTTTACTCTAGTCTTTTTCCTTTCAAAATTTTTTTAAATTAATCTTTTTTTTTTTTTTTAAACACCCCTTTTCTTTCATGGGAAGTGGTGATGGGGGCCAGAGAGAATCACTTCACATTTTGCTATAATCTCAACAGCCTTTCCTGGTCAAGTTTGTTCCTGGTTCTCATGAATGACTGAAAACTAAGAGATAAACCAATGTATAACTTCAGGCTTGACCTGATGGCTCTATTTTAAACTATAATAAAGACATTTCAAATTGTCTGAATTAGTACACCAAACAATCTTCTAAATAATCAAGTTTTTGTTTATAAATCAGCAGGGTAACTTTACCCCATCTGCAATACAGAAAGTGTTGTATACACATTTTCAATTTTCTTATGGTGTTGAACTTGAGAAGCAAGTGTCAGAAAGGTAAGACCCACTTTGACATATTGAGGAAATGAGGAAAAGTTTAGATTTTGACAAAACCACCTGAGATCTCAAGTCCAGACCACCAAGCCAAGTTATTAGGGAGGGCCTGTTCTCTTTCTGCATGTTCCAAAATAAACTTGATTTCCACTTAGGCCCCCACTCTTCATGTTACCTAAAAGGCCTTGCTCTAGGCAGTAACCTGTGGAAGCTGACAAGTGGATTCTATTTCTGGATGTTAGAAACTGGAACTGACCAGAAGCTGGACAGCTCCGTAACACAGGGATTGTTCCTTCACCTCTGAAGTGAGAATTGTCTCCTCTCCCCTTTATTGAGTAGCAGATTGGATCACAGTGGCATTAAGTGCCTACTATGTGTTAGGCACTGGGGACTGAAAGAGAGAGATGAAATAGTCTGCCCTCTCAGGAACATGAAGTGCAGTGGAGAGAGGAAACCCCAGTTCAAATCCTGCCTCAGACATTTACTACTGGCTGTGTGAGCAACCCTGGGCAGGTCACTTAACCTCTGTTTGCTTTATTTTCCTTATGTGTAAAATGGGGAGAATAACAGCACCTGACTCCCAAGGTGTTGGTGGGTTTCAAGTGAGATTATATTTGTAAAGCACTTTGTAGACCTTAAATGCCATGTAAATGTGCACTGCTATCATTATTACTAGTCATAATAATAGTCATCTGAGTAAGATAAACTAGTTTGACCTTAAGTGGAAAGAGCACTGGCTCTGGAGTCAAAGGACCCAGGTTCAAATCCTACCTGTGATGCTTCGTAACTGTGTGACCTTGGGCAAGTCACTTTGCTTCCTCTGTAAAATGAAGGAGCTGGACTGGATGGCCGTTAAGGTCCCTTCTAGCCCTAGCTCTCAGATCCTCTAAGGATATAACAGAGATCAGGGTGTAGGGTAGAGATGGGAGGGTCTGAAAGCCCAATTTTTAGCTGCTCTCAGATTTTTGTCCAAGGCCAGCCCTGCCACTTCCCCAGGTCACTTCAGAGTCCTGTGACCTGGCCCTGGGGTTGGGGGCAGTTGAGTATTTCTCTCCTGGGACTCTAACATCTGACTACCTGATGTTTGGTGAGGATCCAGCTCTAGGTGTTCTTTCCTTCCTCCTCTGTTCTGCTGCTGACAGCACTATTCCCTTCTTCATCCACCACCCATAGAGAAGTCTGAGGCAGGTTCCACAGACCTCACTGGGTTAGATTGAGCTACATGCTGCAAACAAGTGTGTGCCAGGTTGTGGGGGGCTGACCATCGCTCCTTTTACAAAGCTGGTTGTTGAGCAAAGATTTTAGGAAGGGCTCAAGCCCTTCACTGAACCCTGACCCCTCTGGCAAAGGCATACAAAGCCCTTTCTGGGGGCTTCTGGTGGTCCTCTGTACCTATCTGCCCCCGTGTTCCCCACTATAAGAATGTCATGGGCACACCAGGCATTCAGTAGTAACACCTGTCAGAACACGTAAGGGGGTGCTGGGAGGGGTCTCTTCCTTGGTTTCCCAGAATCCTTTGGTGGCAGAAGGGGCTTCCAGGGCTCACCAGGGGAACCATAGAGCTGGACTGATCTAACTCTTGGTTCTTTTGTCTTCCCACAGTTCTGGTTTTCTTTCCCACCCTGCCCAGGAGGCAAGGTGATGGCAGCTCCATTCGTGACGCTCAGGTCTCAGGTGAATTGTGGCTTCCTCTGTCCTTCCTCAGTTTTCCAGTTTGCCTCCATCTCTCATGTCCCTTCTAGGGGCCTGAGCCCCAGTCCCCTCTCCCAGCAGCCTGGACAAAGTAATACCATTGATTATCATTATTTTGGGAATGTGCCTTTACAAATGGTTATCCCTGTTTTGCACATGAGGTCCAGGCAGGTTGAATGGCTTGACTGAGACCATACAGCAGAGAAAAGCTAGGGGGCACAGGCCTCCTGTCTCTGCTGCCTTTTCTGGCACAGCTTAACGCTGCCACTCATATACTCAGCTGCACGTCCCTCTCTGGTCTCTAACGCCCTGCCTTTGCCCTTCCCGTGGGGTCATGGTGGGGGTTGTCTTTGATGTTTTAGGAGGTGGTGACATTTGAGGATGTGGCAGTGTATTTCACTGAGGAGGAATGGGATCGATTACACCCTGGTCAGAGGACCCTCTACCGGGACGTGATGCTGGAGAATTACGTGAATGTCACCTCGCTTGGTAAGAGCTGTGTCTTTCCTGACACAGAAGCATCCTGGGCTTCCAGATTGGAAATGGTTAATAGAGGTGAAGACAAGTAGGCAGTTTCCATTTCCATACCATCAGATGTTACAGAGTTCTGGCAGGACCAATGCTGTTTGCATTTTAGAGACAAGCAACCACTGGAAAGAGTATTCAGGGGCATTATGTGGGCCTTGAGAAAGCAAGTGGGGCCCCTGCACTGCTGGACCTCCCCCAAAGCGGTGGGGCAGGCAATAGATCTTCTCTCTGACGCTCCCCAGCCATGTAACCCGACGTGGACAAGTCACTTAACGTTTCTGAGCCTCAGTCTCTTCATCTGTAAAGTGGAGATCATGCCTATAGAATCTACTTCCTAGGGTGGGTATGAGTCTCAGATGACAATATATGTAAAGCCCTTGGCAAAAAAAAGTACTGTGTAAGTGTCAGTTATGCTGTATAGCAGTAATTAGCAAGCTGTCTGGTAGTGGAGTTTTTCAAAAGATTCCTTAGAATGAATCATCCGCAATTAGAACCCAGAGTATCCAATCAACCTGTGTTTGAGAAATCTTGAGATTCCAGAACATCAGGGAAGAAGCCGTGGCACCTGAAAGCGGTACAGTGACACGTGGCATTGGCCATACTTCTGGTGCCATACTCTATAATCAATTCCAAATGGATCAGTGATCGAAATATTTTTAAAAGTCATTGGCAGTTTAAAAGTAAGTATTGCTTTACTAATTATGGAGAGGAAAAATTTTAGCAATTTGATAAATAAAGATGTCAGGAGAAAAAATGAATGGATTCGATTATATATATTTTAAAAAATGGGGTTTGTTTTTTTTTGTTTTTTTTTTTTTTTACAACAAAAAGCAATGCATCTGGAATAAAAAGAAAGAAAACAGTTAACATTTCTATAGCTCTTTGAGGTCTGCAAAGCATTTTACATGATATTATCTCCTTTGGTCTCCTTATAGCAACCCTCTGTGGTAGATGCTATTACTGTCTCCATTTTACAGATGAGAAGACTGAGGCATTCAGGTTAAGTGACTTGCCCAGGGTCATACACCCAGCTAATGTTAGGGTTCGAACTCGAGTCTTCCTGACTCCAAGTCCAGCTCTCTAGCCACCATGCCACCTCTAAACTTTTTAAAGGAAGTTAATGGTTTCAGCTAAAAATGAAGCCTTCCATATTAACTCTCTGTACCCTTTGTCATTTTCTAACTTGTACTGTTCTTCAGCCTCCATTAAGACCTGATTCCAGTGCTGCCTTATGGCACGGAATTAACCCAGGTTCTCTAAGGAAGGCTGCTTCTCCAGAAAGGCCGGAGTAGAGGCCCAGGGGCAGACTGTCATTAGGAGGCCAGCCTAGTTAAATTTGGAGGAAGCTGGCTGTCCTGTGGTTAATCTGTTTTGCCCCTAGCCATTCCAGAAACCCAAGTTGTGGAGGGGGTACTCTGTTTTGGTGGAAGGAGTGTCCACGTAGATGAAATCTGAGATTTTTTGAAGTGTCACAGAAATAGTGGATTTCCATGTTCACCTTTCCAACAAAGAAAATGAGAACATGGTCTGCTCTCATGCAAAAGTTCTTCTCTCCCTTTGATCACTTTTGACTCTGAAAAGCCATCAAGTTAGCCTCAGTTGAACACAGAATGTGTAGGTTCTCAACCCCTTTGGGTCCTGTCCCCAGGTGACAGGTTTGGTCTTTGCAGGGGCTGAAATCAGCAACTAACCCTATTGACTGTCTCCAGCCTCCCAGTCTTCCAGTCTGTTCCATTCCCAGTGCCCTAGTGCTGATCCCTGGCTCGTTTACCTGCTCTGAGGAAGTCAAAGGCAAATGCAGCTAAGTGTTCTGTGCCCAGCCCAACTTGTAGATATGACTCCGATTCCCCCTTGGTTTCACCAGTCTTACCTCACATCCATGTACCTTTTGGATGGATCCCCAGACCCCCCTCATTGTAACGGCAGTGGGTATTTCCCTTTTGCCTCCTACCCACCATGGAATTGTGCTTGAAGGGAAGGGAGAAATCTGTGTCCTGAGCCCAAATCATTATGTCTGTCTACCTTTCCCTTTGAGCAGGGATTCCCATCTCCAAGCCCGATGTGATTTCCAAGCTGGAGCAAGGGGCAATGCCATGGATCACAGACCTTCAAGGTGTGGCACATGGAGAGGACCAGGCCACCTGGGCAGGTGAGTCGGGGAGCAGTACTGGGTGAATGGCAGCTGTGCAGTCATACATGGGCACCTCAGACACTTTCCAAAATGAGTCCTCTCCAGTCACCCCTTTGGTCTTGCCCAGCTCTGGGTGGGAGAGCATGAGACCTTTTCCCCAGCCCTGCTTGTTATCGCTGTACTCCTGAGCTTAGCAGTTTTCTCCCTTTATTAATCATCCTTTCCTTACTCCTTGAAAGCTTGTTGCCTACCTGTAGTATCTTACCCCATCACTTCAGTGAGTCCCAGTTAAGTGGTTTTTAAAATTAAGTCAAATTGTGTTTTTAAAAAAGTTTTTGAGGAGCAGCTAGGTGGCACACTGGATAGAGCTCCAGCCTTGGAGTCAGGAGGTCCTGAGAGAGAGAGAGAGAGAGAGAGAGAGAGAGAGAGAGAGAGAGTGTGTGTGTGTGTGTGTGTGTGTGTGTAGACATATATATATGTCTATAGATATATATAGACACATGATACTCACTAGCTGTGTGATCCTGGGCAGGTCACTTAACCCCAATTACCTTGAAAAACAAACAAACAAACAAAAAAAACAATAAAAAAGTTTTTGAGACATTTTGTTTTGATACGAGATACAAACTAACACTCTAACCATTGAATGCCACATATATTCAAGGCCTTTCATCATTTTCTTCTGCTTATCAATAGCCTGTTTCAGCCTCGTGCCCAACACAGATCTCAGTACTCCAGGTGAGGGGATAGTACAGTGAGACTATCACCATCCTTTTCCCAGACGCTCTGGCCCTCTCGGGGCATCCCCAGACAGCGTTCGCTTTTTTGGCTATCCCAGCACACGATTGACACATTGAGCTTACAATCCATTGAAGCCCTCAGAAGGTTTGCAAACAAACTTCTGCCTAACCATGCCTCCCCCATCTTGTACTGGTGGAGTTGGAGTCTTTGTACCCAAGCAGAAGATATCCTGTTCATCTCTATTGAATTTCATCTTATTAAATTCAGCCCTGCTCTGTGTCCCTCCTAGTGACGTGTCATCTTCAGACTTGATGAGTCTGCCTTCCGTTGCCTTTCTCCTAATCATTGAACAAAATGTTAAACTGCAGAGATCCTGGACCGCTGCAATAGAGACCTCCTGCCACATTGGTAGTGACCCATTAACAACTGTGCTTTCTTGGAGTGCAGCCCTCCAACCACTTCTGAAGGCAGCTCACTTTACTAGCATCTGGTTCACTTCTCTCTGTCTTCTCCATAAGAATAGTATATTTCATTGAAAAAAAAAACTTTGCTAAAATCTAGGAAAACTGTATCCACAACTTTCCCTTCATCCACTAATTTCATGATCTTGTCAAAAAAGGAAATGAGGTTAGTTTGATACTACCTGTTCTTAATGAAGTCAGGGTGGCTCTTTGAAATCATTGCTTCCCTTGTAGATCTTTGCCAACCATAGTAATAACAGCACTGGCACTCTGTGCCAGGCCCTGTGCTAAGCACTTTACAATTATTATCTCCTTTGATCCTCACAACAATCCTAGGAAAGTAGGTGTTATTATTATCCTCATTGTGTCGTTGACGAAACTGAGGCAGACAGGTAAAGTGATTTGCTCAAGGTCACAGTTAGAAAGTGTTTGAGGAGGCTGAATTTGAACTTGGGTCTTCCTGATTCCAGGCCCAACATTCTATCCACTGAGCCTAGAATTTCCCATAGAATTGACCCTGTCATCCTCTGTAACAAGTAAGTATGGTCAAGCCAAACAAATGCACACGTTGGTCATGTCTCCTTTTTCACACTTTGTCCCTTGCTTCTTTACCAGAGGATGAGGGCATACCCTGCGATCAGTCTGTGAAGCCATGAGGAGTGTTGTCTTTGACCCTGTGGTTCCCACCAGCTGGCCAGGCTCCCCTTAGGAATCTTTTCTTCTGGCCTTGTCCTGAATTCCCCACTTCCAGATCTATCCCCTGACTTCTTGACCATAGCGTCAGCTCTAACATATTGGGCACTTAACGGTCTCAGAGGGGGACCAAAATGAACGTGTGTAATACAGTTAGAAAAAAATAAAGTGTTATATATATATTATGTGTATATATATATGTATATGTATATGTTATATATATGTTATGTATATATATAATATATATGTGTTATATATGTTATGTGTGTGTGTGTGTGTGTGTGTATATATATATGTACATTCAAATGCAAGTTCAGCAAACATTTATTAAAGATCTTTTGGTGAGGCAACGGGGTTGTAGCGGAAAGAGTGCTGGAGATGGCAGCAGGATACCTGGCTTCAAAATCCCTGCTGCCATTCCTTAGGTGGGTGAACTTGGTCACCCACCTTCTCCAAGCCTTGGTTTCCTTAACTATAGAATGACCGTAATTCTCCTTAGCACTGACTACCTCATAAGACTACAGAGTGAAGCAAATGGAATGACCTGAAAAGCTTGATGGAAGCCATACGTCTCTGCATATATTGGCTAACGTGGTCCTTGTTGTCCTCACTGATGTTGTTCTGTGCCCTTGGGGGTCTGTTATCCTGCCACCATTCTCTGTTGCTTTTCCGTTAGACTGCTTGTTCCGACCAGTCCAGGCACTCTTCCTGGTCACCCATACACACCGTGGGCATTCCCACTTCTTTTTGGTTTTTGACATTGAGCTCAGCCTTAAGGGATGAATCAGCAAGTAGAGCTAAAAGAAGGAGCAGGTTCGAAGCCTGGACGTGAGATGGAGTGGGGGCTGCCTAGAGAGAAGCAGTGTGGCAGACTGGGGCAAAGAGAGGTTGGTGTTCAATTGCAGAGGGCCTTTAATGGCAGGCCAAGGAGTGAGAACCTTGGAAAGTGCCCTGGTGGGCTTTTCAGCAGAATGCCACCATGATCAGGCCTGAAAGTTCAGAGGACACATTTTGGAGGTAGGAATGGTCTTTGAGAAGGCTTCATGGAGGAAATGGGACAGGAACTTGACTTTTTTGGATGGATAGAATTGGATTGGGGAGAGGGAGGGAGAAGGGTGAGTTATTACAGGTGGAAGGGCCCAGGAAGACAAAAAGAGTAGAAGATGAGGATGAGCATGGCATGTCAGGGTGACAGTAGTGAGACTGGCCTGATGGGACAAATAGGCTGGGGAGAGATTAGTGGCAAATGAAGGGGCAGTGGTCACCTGGGGTCCAATCATGCAGGCTCTTGAAAGCCAATCAGTCAAGTTTGGATTGGATACCTTAGCCAATATGGATCTAGTATACATTTGGGAACCAATTCATTCCAATTCAATAAACATTTATTGAGCAACTACTGTACACCAGGCACTGTGCTGAGTGTTGGGGATACAGAAAGAGGCAAAAACCAGTCTCTGCCCCCAAGAATCTTACAGTCTGATGGGAGAGACAGCATGCAAACAACTATATACAGACAGATTAAGAGAGGTTAGAGAAAGCTTCCTGTAGAAGGTGGGATTTTATTTGGGACTTAAAGGAAGCAAGGGAGGTCAGTGGCCGGAGTGGAGGAGGGAGAGCATTCTAGGTAGGGGAGGCAGCCAAAGAGAATGCCTTGAGTTGAGAGATGGGCTGGCTTGTTCATAGAACAGCCAGAAGGCCAGTGTCACTGGATGGAAGAGTCTGGGAGTAAGGTATGAGAGTACTGGAAAGGTAGGAGGGGGCTGGGTTAGGAAGGGCTTTGAATGATCAACAGAATGTTTAGTATTTGTTCGTGGGGGCAATAGGGAGCCACTGGAGTTTATAATTGGCCTGGCCTACCCCACGGTATGCTAAGTACTTTGATGCAGGGAAAGCCTGAGGGTAAGGAGTTCATGAAGTTGAGGGGAAATTTAGAAAGGAGAACAGTTGAATTGATCAGTTAATTTTTTTTAAAAGCATTTAATTAGGGGCAGCTAGGTGGCGCAGTGGATAGAGCTCTGGCCTTCGAGTCAAGAGGACGTGAGTTCAAATCTAGTCTAAGACACATGACACTTACTAGATGTGTGACCCTGGGCAAGTCACTTAACCCCAATTGCCTCACCCCCCCCCAAAGAAAAAAGGCATTTAACTGGTAGCCATTAGCAAATTAAATTTTTAAAAGGTGAGAGAAAATGCAAATCAGTAAAACTTCAAAGAAAAAGAGATGAGGTGTTGCAAGAACAGGAAAGAAATGAAGGGCTTTATTAGGAAATGTTTTGTAGTTATGTTCCGATATGAGGGAATTCAAAGGAAATAGGGTGATTATCTACAAAAATATAAAATACCAAAATTGATCTTACAGGAGGAAATTATTCATTTCAATTATTAATCTATGCTTAAGAAATAAAGGAGAGGAATCATCAAAGAATTGCTTCACAGAAAATCACATGGCCCAGATGGAATCATAGCTGAATGGTTTCAAATGGTCTAAGGACAGATAATCATACATGTAGAGAAAGATGGGATGCTGCCCCAATATTCTTGGTGAGACCGGTGTGGTATTGATCTTCAAACCTGGTAAAGATAATATTGGAATGATTACAGACCAATTTCCCTAATGAATGTAGAGGCAAAAATACTCAAGTTAAGTATTACTTAATAGAATAGTGTTTAAATGGGTCTCTGATCCACTGACCAGATGAACATGTGATTTCTGATCAAAATGTAGTCACTCTGTCCTGTGCCACTTCTCCACACCTTGTAAATTCTCCACCTGAGTTCCTAAGGCCTTTCTTACAGCTTTCTTGATATTTTATGTATACCAGTGGAACAAGCTGAGTAGACATCAGTTATGCCTTGCTTTTGCCACAAGACAGACCCACCTTTTCTGCTCGTACATTTCTCTGATGGCATCCTTTATACTGCATCTCATATAATTCTTGATTGGTAATGTATTTGTCGTCCACTCATCCTGATCATATGTCTCTTCACCACCCTGTGGGTGATGCTCAGCTTTGGAGTTGGTTACATTCTATGACTCAGCCATACAACAGCCCAGGAAGAAAGTTGTTAAAAAGATAGACCTTTGTTTAGAGAGAAACTGGGTTTCCTTAAAAATATTGCACAGTTTTCCCAAGGCAACATAGCTTGCTTTCCTCCTCTTGTTCAATTCTAGGACCAGCTCTTTGGGCTGTCCTTCATACTGCACATCATAGTTAAAAAAGTAGGCATTCTCTATCCTTTGTTAATAATTGAGGTCGAATCCTTTTGAATGAAAATGACTCCAGGCTAAAATGTTCCAGAGCTTGATGAGTTAACATAGCATCATCTACAAACAGGAGCATCCAGAGGACTTGGCCACACAGAGAACCCCTCTTCTGTTGAACTCTGTGTTGGATGTCCTCTGTGGCTGAGGCAACCATACATCTCATAGGGTCATAGATAGGCTTAGAGCTAGAAAAGAACATAAAGGTGAAATCCCAACTCCCATCCCAGTTTAGAGATAAGGAAACTAAAACTCTGGCTTGGCTGTCATGTCAAACTCTTGCATGCTGATTGCCCACTCTACTGCTTTTTTCTGTTTTGTAAAGTGATGCTGCTCATAATCTTCCGCCATTCTCCTCTGCAGTGTGTGTGTGTGTGTGTGTGTGTGTGTGTTTTATTTTTATCCTAAACTAGTGATGGCTTTGGCTGATGGAGATAATTTGCTGGCAACTGCTATTTCCAAGCTGTTTTTGCCTCTTGGTGGCAACTTATTTATATTATTTAAACTTTTGTAGGAAATGTTAATCATCAGAATCAATATCTTTCTCTTTGGAGTACATTAGTGTACCAGCTGCTAAGTTAATGTTTATAGTCCAAACAATATGGTTCTTAGTACCCTCTTCCCCCTTTTCTTCCACTCTTCTGTCACTGCTTCACAGTCATCGTGGCCGATTTATGCTTTCATTTGTGATGGTGGTTTCCAGGAAGTTCATCACCCAGCAGCCCACCTTACTGGGGATGAGCCTCTCTGTGCTCAACTTGGTTAGTTTTTGGACAGCAGACCTAGTCTGTGGCTGGCATGGAACCAGGACTTGTGGCACTTTAAAATTCACACAATGCTTTCCTTACAGTAATCCAGCGAGGTAGCGAGTCTAAATGTAAAATCCCTGTTTTGCAGGTTAATTGGAGGGGAAGGTTTGTGAGCTTGGGAAAAGGAAATAGATCCTGAGGGGTGGGGAGACAATATGGGGAGAGACTAGGCAGCAGTTACCTGAAAGGTTCCTATACCTAGGCTATTTTTTGTTTAACCTCACCTCCACTGTCAGTTCAGACCCTTCCTCCTCATTCTGTGGGAGCTCTGTACTCACAATTTATTGCTCATTTTTGGTTTTTTGGGCCAGCAATTTCGCTGGTTGATGAAACTCAATATAGCAACTCTTCCAAGGCAGATCTCATTTGTGTTTTATAATCTGAGAGAGGTGCCTGGGGCACCTAAGAAGTTAAATGACCTAAGCATGCTAATACACCTCTGAGGCAGGTCCTGAACCAGGGGCTTCTTGATTCAAAGTCTGGCCCTCTATCTCCTCCCATCCTGTGGCATCTTACTCCTTCTAGTAATTGGTCGTCTTCTCCTCACTTCTTTCCTCTCATTTTAAATAGGATTTTATTTATGTTATAATTTAAATTATATATATATATATAAAATGATTTTAAAATATATGCAAACATATATCTTTAAGTTTAAATTCCTATACTCTCCCTTTGATTGCAATTAGAGTAGCAATTTTATCTGTGTGCAGGGAACAAGTGGCATTTGTTCTGTATTTATCTTTTTTTATTGATCATTTCAGGTGATGGCATTAAGATTGAGAATGAGGAGGAGCCTATTTCAAAGCCGGAAATGTCTGAAGACGTTGCATCACAATGGACTTTGTTGGCAGGATTCCCATGGGCCATTCCTCAGGGGTTTGACTTTGGAGATGTCTCTGCATGTGAAAACAGGTTAGAGAGGAAGCAAGGTGACCCAGGGAGTTGTACCCTATCCCAGGAGAGAGGTTTCAGCATTATGGGTATAAACCCCAACCAAGTCTCTATAGAGCAGAGAGGCCATGAATATAGTGATTATAGGAGAAACTGTGGTCTGAGCTTCCCTTTACATATGGGACTGACAGTACAGGATTTCCCTGTTCCATATGAAGGAGCTCCCACAGGAGGGAGAACTCAGAGACATGATGAATATAACCACAACTTTAGCCTGAATCCAGAGTCTGTAAGACAGAGAATCCATAGTAGAGTAAAGCGTTATGAATGTAACGAATGTGGGAATGCCTTTAGTAAGACCTCATATCTTATTGTACATCAAAGATTTCATAGTGGAGAGAAACCCTATAAATGTAATGAATGTGGGAAAGCCTTCAGTCAGACCTCAAACCTTATTGTACATCAGAGGATTCATAGCGGAGAGAAACCTTATGAATGTAATGAATGTGGCAGAGCCTTCACAGCAAGGTCAGGCCTGAAGCAGCACCAGAGAATCCATAGTGGAGAGAAACCCTACAAATGTAATGAATGTGGGAAAGCCTTCAAAGAAACTGCACACCTCATTCAACACCAGAGAATTCATAGTGGAGAGAAACCCTATAAATGTAATGATTGTGGGAAAGCCTTCAGTCAGATTTCATCCCTCATTGGGCATCAGAGAATTCATACTGGAGAGAAACCTTATAAATGCAATGAATGTGAAAAGAACTTTAGGTGTGCTTCACACCTCATTCGACATCAGAGAATTCATAGTGGAGAGGAACCTTATAAGTGTAGTGATTGTGGAAAAGCCTTCAATAAGATTTCAACCTTTATTCTCCATCAGAGAATTCATAGTGGAGAGAAACCCTATAAATGTAATGAGTGTGGAAAAATCTTCAAGGGTACTACCCAGCTTATTCAACATCAGAGAATTCATAGTGGAGAGAAGCCCTATGAATGTAATGAATGTGGGAAAGCTTTTACTCAGATCTCAAACCTTATTATACATCAGGGAATTCACAGTGGAGAGAAACCATACAAATGTAATGAATGTGGGAAAGCGTTCAGACTGCGCTCACATTTTATTACCCATCAGAGAGTTCATACTGGAGAAAAACCCTATGAATGCAATGAATGTGGGAAAGCCTTCAGTCAGACCTCAAACCTAATTGTACATCAGAGGATTCATAGGGGAGAGAAACCTTGTAAATGTAATGAATGTGGAAAAGCCTTCAGATGGAGCTCAGAGCTCATATTACATAAAAGAATTCATTTTGGAGAGAAACCATATAAATATGATGAACACGAGAAAGCCTTCAAACAGAGCTCAGAGCTTATTTCACATGAGAAAATCCACACTAAAGAGTAACACTCCAGGTCTAATAAATGTTAGGACAGCTTCAGTCACTCTTATAGCTTTTCAAGCCCCCCAAAATTCACGCTATGGCTAGACTCCATATATTATTGTAAAAGTATTGAAGGTGAGCTTATGTGTTTATCTATGACTTGCTTTGTTTTACACCAAAACCAGTGTTACATTGCTGATTGGCCTTCAATCATGTCAATTCAGATTCATGCCTTGCTGCTGCCACGCTATAGTTGAGGCCCTCAGAGGCCATCTGTCATAAGCAATTGCCTATTAACTCATCTTCCTGCCTCCAGGCTCTACTTTTTTTTTGTTGTTGTTATTTACCTCTTTCCCGCCTAAGGCTTTTGGATTAACTTTGCTATATCATCACTTTGATCATGTCTTCTAGGACCCACATTGTTGCTGGATTGGCTAGGCCACCACCTAGCTGACACCACCCTGCCTACTCAACTTTATTTCTGGTTACTTCCAAATACAAATGCTTCCCTCAGACTGATTACAGCCTTGGTTAGGTCTACTGAGCTGGTGGTGCCCAGGGGTACTTTAGAGAGACGTTTAGAGACAGACAAAATGTATTGAGAGAAAGTTGAGATCAAGGATTGGAAAAGAAAAGGACCATTGAGTTTGCTTTAATCCAAGGACGGGGAAAAGCAGTAATTTGCTTTTTCCCTCTAGTAATAACAGCCACCAATGATATAATACTTTGAGCACTTTCATGAATATTATCTCTTGAATTTTACAACAGCCCTGTGAGGTAGGGTTCTAGAGGTGTTAACTCAATTTTGCAAATGAAACACCCTGATAGCTTGTGATTTGCCCGTGGTCACATAGCTAGTGTCAGGCAAGAGTCAAGTCTAAGTCTCTTTTTTGTGCTTTCTACCAGACTTTACTGTGGAGAGGAAAGAGAGTTCTTGACTTGAGCACCCCTTTCGGGTTCTAGACTAGAGGGTAGGCTGCCCAGAAGAACCAACAGGAGCCAAGGCGGGTATTCCCCTCTTCTGTGTCCCCTCTAAGAACCTTCTGTTGTGCCATAAGAAGCGTAGCTGAATTTCAAGTCAAAGAGCATGAGTTCTAATCCTGGCAGTTAGCAAATAACCTTTCAGCTCCAGGGCCTTACTTGGCCTAGATGGCTTCCAAGGCCTCTTCTACTTCTAAATTGAGAAGCCTATGATTCTAGAGCTTTTCTTTTCATGTTCTTCCCATTGAGGGCTCATGGAATCTGAACCTGTCTGGTTTGCTGAGTACTCGGAGTAGCTCCTGGCTCTATGTGGCTAAGGCCCTTTGTGATATAATTTATGCTCCTAATTTCCTCACTTATCCAATCCAACTTTGTGTCTTCCTTCTTGCAAATCAGGGTGATGCTGTTCCGTTCCAAACTGACTAAATCCAGCCATCATAGCCTGTCATAAAATGCCTTTGATAACCTGGCCCCTGTCTACCTCTGAAACCTTTTCTTCTGCTACTCCACATAAGAGTATGTCTAGAAGAGGGTGACCAGGATGATGAGAGGAGTAGGAAGTGTGTTACCTGAGTGCAGGTGTTTAGCCTGAAAAATATAGAAGAGTTGGGGGGGGGGGCAAGATAGCTATTTTCAAGTATTTGAAGGGTTATCTTGTGAAAGAGGGATTTCACTCGTTCTGCCTAACCCTGAAGGACAGAACCAGAAGGAACAGGTAGACGTTGCAGAGGCAGATTTGGCCTTAATGTAAGGAAAAAGCTACCCAGCAGTGGGAGGGCATCACCTCCGGGTGATGGATTTTCCTCATTGGAGGCTTTCTCAGAGGGGATTCTTGTCGATTTACATTTTGGCCTAGTGGCTTCTGAGTTCCCTGTTTCTGGGATACTCCTCTAGACTCTCTAACCAAGCTGGCCTCCACTTGCTTCCCTCAGCAGAACTTAACCATTCTTGCAGCATGGTGTGGTGGAAAGAGCGCTGGTCTTGGAGGCCAAAGGCCTGGTTTCAAATCCTATCCACCTCCTAGCTTTGTAACATTAGATAATTCACTTCACCTCTCAGCCTCAGTCTCCTCATCTGTAAAATAGGGATTAGAAGAACCTGCCCTGTCTTAATCAGGGATTTTTTTGGAGCATGTGAAAATGCTTTGTAAACTTGAAAGCACGATACAAATGGAAGCTCTTTGAATTCCTGCCTCTGTGCCTTTGCCCATACCGTTTCTCTTACCTGAAATGCCTTTTCCCTTTTATTCAGCTCATTTAGATACTACCCTTCAAGGGTTAGCGCCTCCTCCATTAAATCTGCCCCAACTACTCCCACACTTAGTATCCTCCTGAACTCCTGTGGCACCCACTGCAGACAAGCAGTAAGTCCTCTGTCACTGAAGGGCTTCAGGTTGAGTCTAGGTGACCGCTCATCAGGGATGTTGTAGGGACAGTTCCTGTTCACATATGGCTTAGACAAAGTGGCTCTTAACGGTTGTGAGAGTCTGTTGCTACTCTTGTTTGTGTTATTTATTTGGCACCTAACATATGCTACCTTGTATTTTGGATTTATTAATGTATGTGCCCTGGCCCTGCCGCTTACTAGCCATGTAACCTTGGGTAAATATTCTCTGATCCTCGATCTATTTGTCTGTAAAATGGAGATAATGCTACCTGCCCTGCCTGTCACTGGGTTGTTGTGAGGATCTATGTGAAAACATCTTGTGACCTGTGAAGTGCTACCCAAATGTAAGGTGGTGTTTGTATTGTCTTTCCAACTTGACTGTACGCCCCACAAAGGCAAAGTATCTGCTCTTATCCCTTTCTATATCCCCAGGGTTTCGCACTGTGCCCCTCACACAGATGCACAATAAATGTTTAATGCCAGTGCTGATGGCCAGAAGTTTTGTCATTAGATCATACCCTCAAGGTGTCATCTTCCAAGGGGCCAATTGTGAACCTGCTTGTCCAGGCTGAGACACACAGCCACCATTGTCCAGATGGCACTCATGCTGTACTGTGTGGTATAGATTGGAAGTTGATAATGAGTTCAGTGGGCAAGGGGAGAAGGAATTTGAACCTAGAAGGCTACATCTAATTTGGCAAAGGCATTACAAGTCTGGGAAATGGCATGAATGTGGTATATGAAGGGGATTCTAGGCCTGCCTCGCGCATTTCACCTCCTCCATCCAGCTTCCACTGAAGGTCACTGTTCACTCTTTAGGAAAGAGATCTTAAGTAACAAATTAGGATTGAAGGGAACGTAGGTCCCGGGGCTCTGATATCCTGCTGAAGTCAACACTGTAAATGCCTGTGATTGGCAAGGTATTAGGGATACAAGAACGGAACAGTCTCTGCCTTGGAGGAGCTTACTGGGGGGGATGCATATGTACATATAGGTAAATGCAGAATATATGCAGGTAAATTTGGAGCTGAAGGTGGGGAAGGACTGACAAAGGGAAGGGCATCAGAAGAGGCTTCGTTTAGAGGCTTGTTTCCGAGGTAAGAATCCAGGTCACAACCACTAGCATGAGTGTACCTCAAGGCTCTGTCCTGGGCCCTCATTTCCCTCGGTGAACCTATCGGTTCCCATGGATTCAATTCTCTCTATGCTGATGATTCTTAGACCTTATTCAGCCCATACCTCTGCTAACTTCTAGTCTTGCCTCTCCAGTTGTCTATTGGGCATCTAGGAATCGATGTCCAATAGACATCTTAAACTCAACATCTCCAAAATTGAATTCATCTTTCCTTCCAAATCTTCCATCCTTCCTAATTTTGCTGTTACTGTCAATGGTACCACCATCTACCCAGTCAACCACACTTGCAACCAGGTGTCATCCTGGACTTTGCATTCTCATCTTCCACATCCAATCAGTTATCAGTTCCTATTGTTTCTGCTTTCATAATAGCTCTCCCATAACACCTCCACTCTCTCCTCTCCTCTGACACTGTCACCCTGTTGCGGGTCCTTATCACCTACATCTGGACTATCGAAATAGGTAGTTGGTTGGTATTCCAGCCTTGTCTCCACTCAGGTCTGACTGTGACGCCTCCAGCGTGCACGCGCGTGCGCACACACACACACACAACTCCAGTAGCTCCCTAGCACCTCTAGGATCAAATATAAAACACTCTAATGTTCAAAGCCCTTTGTATCCTGGCCCCCAACTTTTCAGTCTTCTTATACCTCTTGCCTCCCCTGCACGTTCTGCAATCCATTTATACTACCCTCACTCTTCTCAAACAGGACACTGCCTCCTGACTGAGCGTTTTCACTAGCTGTCTCCCTCACCTGGAATTCTTTCCCTCATTTCTGTCTCCTGACTTCAAGTCCCAGCTAAAAGTTCACCTACAAGAAGTCTTTTCCAATCCCCCTTAATGCTAGGGCCTTCTTTCTGGCGATTATCTCCAGCATATCTTGTTTGTCCGTAGTACTTTTCCTGTTGTCTCCCTCATTAGACTTTTTGAGCTCTTTGTGAGTAAGGACTGGTATGGGCCTTTTTTGGGGGGGGGGGCATTCTTTGTATCCCCATTGCTTGATAGGCTCTTATGAAATGCTTGTTGACTGACTTAAGTAGAGACCAAGGTGAGAATGCAAAGACATGAGGCAAGAGGTAGAACATCACATATAGGGAACAGTTCATGAGGGGAAGTCATGTGAAATTAGTCTGCAAAGATGGATTGTAACTACCTTATAAGGGATTTAAATTCCAAGTGAAGAACATGATTCTTTGCCCAGGGGGCATTGAAGAACCAGTGAATTTTGAGAGGGTCAGTGACATGGTCAGGCCTGTGCTTTAGTTGTATTAATTTGCCAGTCATATGAAGAATGGGCTAGAGGGATAGGTGAGAAGCCAGCTAGGGTATTTCGGTGGTCTGGTGGAGAAATGTAATAAAGAACTTAACTAGGGTAGAGACCATGTTAATCGAGAGAAGCAGTTGGATGAGAATTGTTTAGGTGGAATCAAGATTTGTTAACTGATTGACTATTGGGGGTGGAGAAGTGAATAGTCAGGGATGACTCCAAAATTAGAAATCTGTGTGACTGGGAAGATGATGGTACTCTTAATAGAAAGTAGGATGATAGATTTTAGAGACAGAAGGAACCCAAGTCCAACCTTCCTCATTTTATAGGTGAGAAACTGAGGCTCAGAGTCCTAGGTTAAGTGACAACCAAGGTCACATAGGTTAGGTAGTAAGAAGCAGAGACAGACATCAAGGCCAAGTCCTCAAAACGTTAATTCTAGCTCTCCACTATTCCGTGATGCTTCTCCAATTTAAGACTTGTTAGGGGGGGTAGGAGGAGGTAGGGAGGCAGTACAGCTAATGAATTCCATTTTGTATAGGTTCAGTTTGAGTATTCAAGTGGAAATGTCCAGCAGACATTTGGTGATGAGGCTGGGCTGATTTAGATTTGGGAGTCACCTACATAGAGGTGAAAATTGAACCTATGAGAGCCAACGAGCAGTGTGGTATAAGGGGAAGTATACCAACCAGAGATTCAAAAAACCTAGGTTTGAATCCTGCCTTTGATATTTACTGAATGCCCTTGACCACGTCAGTTCACTTTCCTAGGCCTCAGTTTTCTCACTTCTAAAATGTGGAGTTGACCAGAGCAGGGCCTTTTTTGGATCCTGGACCCCTTTGGATAGTCTGGGGAAGCCTATAGATCCCTTCCTAGAATCATGTTTTTAAATGCATAAAATAAAATGGATTATATAAAATGGATTACAAAGGAAACTAATTGTCTTGAAATAGTTAATAGTTGTCAGAATATTTTTTTTAAAACCACAAAATCGTGGACCCTAGGCTAAGTGGACTCTGAAGGCCCTTCCAGCTTGAGGGCTATTATCTAATGAGGTCACCAAGAAAGTATATACAGAGTAGATGAAAGCTCAGGACAGAGACCTGGGAGCCACCCTCACATAGGGGTATCTGGTGGGGGTGGGGGGGGGGAAGCTAGGTGGCACAGTGGATAGAGCGCTGGCCCTGAAGTCAGGAGGACCTGAGTTCAAATCCGACCTCAGACCAAACACTTGACACTTACTAGCTGTGTGACCCTGGGCAAGTCACTTAATCCCAATTGCCTAACACCCCCCTCCCCCACAAAAAAAACCAAAAAAACCCCTCACAATATAAGGGTGTCTGGACGTGGATGATCACCCATCCAAGGAGAGTGAGAAGGAGCAGTCAGAGAGTAGGAGGATCAGGAAGGGAGAGAGCTTGTCATGGAAACCCACAGAGAAGAAGATCCAGGAGGAAGGAATGGGCAACAGTGTCAAAAGCTTCAGAGTTCAAGAAGGCCAAAGATTGAGAAAAGGCCACTGGGTTTAGTAATCGAGAGCACTGGCAGATTGAGTTAAGTGGTGACATGAAAAGCCAGATTGCAAGGAGTTGAGAAATGGAGGGGCATGAGAAAGTGGAAACCATGAGTACTGCTGTTAGGGTAACGAAGTTTTTTCCCTTTTCTCAGACCTCGTGGGGAATGTATAAGAAAACAAAAGTAAAATGAATGGCTTCCCTTTGATTACCCAACGGTATTAAGGATCATGAGAAAAAGCAGAGCTGCCAGCAGGCCAAAACGGGCCTTGACACAAAACGGAATGCAGCACACACATCGGGCAGTGCTCTCTACAGATACTGTACGTCTTGAATGAGGATTGAACTCTGGTTCCAGGGTCTTTGATGAGGACTCTGGCTGTTGAAGCAACCACATACTCCCTGGTGGTCAAACAATGACATGGCATTAGAGCTATTTCATCTTAGTTATGGTCAGCAGTCAGGTGTTACCTGCCTAATCTGGTTTCAGGGTGACCCATCAGTTCTGACCCCTTGGTAGCTGAACCGTGATGACATCCACCGCTGCCAGGATATTGCTGTTTCTCATATGAGAAACTAGCGGTAACAAGTTTCACACAGCTGAGGTTTTTTCAAAGCAACAGAGGGTAGGGTTAGTCTTTCATGCCAAGGCACAAAAGGACACACCCCACGTTGAGACAAAAAAAACCATACAGCCCTTTCTGACCTCAGACCTGTTTAGATGGCCACTCTCTTGATCTTTCTTGATGTATTGTCCTTGTACCACATTTTCTTTTTGCCCCTTGGGTCCCACCCTCTTACAGGGATCTCCCAGGCCTTCAATGAGCCACCTATCTCTGGTCTTTTATCTTGGTATCTTTTCAAATGGTGTTTTATGAATGATTATGATTAGCTGTCTTAATAGTTATACTGTAATGGGGGCTGTGGTGACAGCCACGGTGGGATTTGAAATAGAAGTGGGCTCACAGGTTTGGGAGCTACTTATTGTGGGAATGAGCATGTAGAGATCTCTATTACTCCTAAGATATGTAAAAGACTAGGCTATTGATCTACAGGACAGAGGGACCGGAAGGGTGTGAGTTCTAGAAAGGAAAGGCTCAAACAGTTTAAAATCCAATGTGTATCAAAGCAGGGATATCAGCAGAAGTTCAGGGGACAAGATGGTCAGTGCTGAAGAGGTTGGCCACGAATACCAGGTAATTAGTCTTGGGGACACAGGTTTATGAAAAAATTCAAAGGGACTGAGGGGACAGACACAGGGAAGGATCCTGGTCACCTGAGCTGAAGACATGGATTACAAGGGGTGGACTTAAGCACAGGGTAGCAAAATCAGAGCCCAGTCAGGGAAACTCAGGAACCCTGTGGCCTGGGACTAGCAATGCTGAGTGGGGTTTGACCAGTAAATGAGTAATTCAGGGCTCCCTCAATTGCTCCTGCCTGGAGATAGAAATGATTTTGATTGCCTGTGATAGGACTTCTCTATGGCCTTAGCTTCAAAGGATGGAAGAGGTAGTCAGTGAACTAGGCACACTATATTCTCAGATATTCAAAATTAAATATAATTGACA